ATGACACTGACTGACATACGTTGAGAAGCAATAAATGCATTCCTTTGGCGACACGATGGTTCAGGGTTTGGAGTTTATGGTTTATGGTTTTGTGTCAAGTTTGGCGACGTCTGTTACAGTCTTGCAGCGGCCCAAACATAACACGGCACAACAAAGCACACACACACACACGAACACACACCTTCCGTTGCCACTACACTCTCTACAGATCTCTCTGTGTTCTCGGATTTGATCGCCGTTTCATCTGTGTCCTTTGATTGGATTGTTTTATCATTCTTGTCTTTCGATTGGCTGCCAGATTTTAATTCCTTTGTTCCTGTTGCTGAACCGTCCGCGACACATAGTGACGCCAAAAGCATTGCCTCGCCCATATCTTTATGCGTATGGCCATCGCTTCTGAGCCAATTTATTGGAAACGTATATGATATACGTACATATGCGTTTAAACGTATTCACAGGTGTATTTACCTACATACAACGTACATACCTACACAGAATAAATGTATGACCACATAAAATGTACGTACATAAACATAACAAACACATTCTTATATATAATGTACCTACATACACTCAAATAAACATATGTCTACATATGACGTAAAAACGTGCATGAATATGATAAATTTATCTACATTTAACCGTGTGTATATGCATAAAATATAACTATTTGCATACAACGTACGTATATACGTACAATACATTTCTCTACATATAATGTACGTATTTGCATACAATAAATTATAAAGTACGTATAAAGAAACAATTCATTTCCCTAAATATGACGTACGTATATGCATGCAATACATGATCATACCTAGCCGCGCGTGCTTTATCTGTGGCATTTTCAGGCACAATCTTGGCAATAGATTGTGGTATGGCTGCAGTTGCAGCTGGTGGTGCTGTAGGGACTGCCACGGGGCGAGGGGGTGTGTCGGCTATTTATAGAATGAGCAAAAGAGTAAGTACCTGAAGATGAGTGCGCGTGTATCATGTCTATAAATAGCTGTGTATACACACAAGAAGCCATATTATCAACTAGTATGAACTACAGGTACAAGACACTGCGATGCGTTTCGGGGTTTAGGGTTTTAGGAATTTAGGGGTTTCGGGCTTGTCAGAGGTCGCAGCAAACCATTGAGATAGCAGATGACATGCGTTTGATTGCTAAACGACAGTGCTACCAGTAATACGTCGATTTATACACGCACACATATCCATGAACCACTAGTTATATTAATAGCACACCATCTCCCCCAGACTCACCCACATCAACAAACGAACACGCACACATATCCATGACCAACCAATTATATTAATAGCACACCCTCTACCCCACACTCACCCACATCAACGTACGACCACACACTCATATCCGTGACCCAATAGTTCTATTAATAGCAAACCATCTCCCCCACTTACCTACATCAACGAACGAGCACGCACTCATATCCATGACCCACTAGTTATATTTATAGCACACCATCTACCCCACACTCACCCACATCAACAAACGAACACGCACACATATCCATGACCCACTAGTTCTATTAATAGCACACCATCTCCCCCACTCTTACCCGCAGCGTCAGCCAGCTCCTTGTCGCCCGCCAGTGTTTGTTTCTGTGTGTGTGTGGTGTATTTTTTCCGCCAAAACTCGGCCACCGCGGCTGCGATGCGTTTGCAGAGTCTTCGCCCAAGGAGCTCGTCCTCTTCCCTCAGACGCTGTTGCGATAAACCAGGGTTTACTTATATGAAGGTATGTAAGATGGGTAAGATCTCCAGTAAGGCGGATTAACAAGTGATAAACTCGGTTTTCCATAGATGTAGAAACGATGAGATCATCTATAACCAGATAGACGCTGCTGCGATAAACCAGGGTTTATCTTCATGACAGTGGGTAAGATGGGTAATATTTTGAGTTAGCCTAATGATTAGGTTATAAACCACGGTTAATTTTCATGAAACGAGTCATCCTAAGGAATAGGTGATAAACCAGGGTTTATTTTCACAAAACGTGTTAGCCTCATGAATAGGTAATATACCAGGGTTTATTTTCATGAAAGTGGGTAAGATGGGTAACATATCGAGATAGCCGAATGAATAGATAATAAACCAGGGGTTATTTCACGACAATGGGTAATGTAGGTGTCATATAACATAAGGTAGACTGATAAGTGATAAACTAAATCATATTGGATGAAAGTCGATGAATTGGGTAACATTTGAGTTAAGGAGGTGCATCACATAGGATTTTTCGCACACACCACACATACGCATAAGCATAGATCATCACCGATATAAGTACACACAGACAAAACAAATATGTAGCCCTTCATTTAAAACATACATATATATATATATATATATCCTTTCTCTAATCTAAGACATATACGTATATA